ATGGAAGATCTTAATAAGGATCTCAATTCAGGACTTATCTTGGAAAATACGACGAGTGTACCAGTGGAAAATAATCATGTGGGCCAAGATCCAGAACCAGCATTCAGCGACGAGGAAGAAGAAATGCCACTCAGGTTTGTTTTATTTGAATTTCAATATAGACATATATAAATCACATGTAATTTTCAATTTGTTCTCGTATGTAATTTTCAATATATATTTGTAGAATAGTAACGAAAGTAGAAGAGGAGGAAGATGAGGAAGATGTACCCTTAGCTACAGTGAAACTTAAGAATGAACAAAAGAATGCAAATTGTGTTGCAAAAAAGGAAGATATTACGTCTCAGTTAAATCTTATTTTAGAACCAGAAGAATTGAGAACTGCCATTGGAAGCCTACATAGTGAAAGTGACAATGAAATCAGATGCCAAGCGGTCGAAAGAATAGTACAAATGGTCGTGGAAGATGAGATAGATGCAGAAACAGTACCAGGTTTAGCGTCTTGTCTATCGACCATTTTGTCGACACAAATAACAGCACAGATATTTCCATCGGATAATTTAAACGAGGAATCATTGACTGATAGTATAAGCACGCCATTGTTTGTTATGTTTCGAAATCAGTATCAGTTATGTAAAGAAGAAGACAATAGGAGAAAACTTTTAGCTAGAGTACTCGCTGAAATGTATTCTATTCAGCCCAAAATAGGATATCTACTTCTATATTTTTTAAAAGTATGGGGTAGAGAGGAAGAAAAGAGAGAAGGGGAACCAAGGTTAGTCAAAGTTATTATTTATATGAATTAATATGGATCATATTTGTCATTGTATATTATAGTTTTTGGTTTTATATTTATATATATATATTTTTTCTTTTTTTCTTTCTACAGCAATGTATTAAACGACGTAAAAGCCTCCGTTTATAAGGACTTTTGTGCACAGAGAGAAAAGAAATTAGATGCGTGTTTAGTGGCTGATTTAAAAGTAATCACGACGTTATTAAAAAATATATTAATAGTACGATAATTAGTATATTAAATGTAATTATATATTATGTTACAGTTATGTCACGAAGACAACATATTCATGTTGTGTTACTTGGTGCCTGACATATATACTGGATTTCAAAACGTAGCCCTAGGGAACGTCCAACTTTTGCATTTGGTCGTATCGACTATCGATGCATGTCAATTACAGGAATTGGTTTGTCAGATAATGCAAGGTCACCTTAAAATGTTAAAGAAAGAATCTTTCACTTCTTTATTAACAGCAAGTTTAAATTGGGAAACCTTCGAACAGTACTGTTTTTGGCAGTTAATATTTGCTCATGATTTTCCCATTGAGTATGTGTTGCCAGTATTACCGAAATTGCAATTCCGCGATCATGCAGAAGCACTCACGTCGATACTATTTATGCTTAAGCAAGAAAAGTAAGTAATCAATATATTGATCGAAAAGTGTATTCGAATCAAATATTTACAAATCGTCGTTATACTTTTTCTTTTCTTTTTATTTTTTTTTTTTTTTTTTTTTTTTCTTTTTTCTTCTTTTCTCTTTTCCATACGCAGACCTACTCTGGAACTTTTACGACAGCTACTTGCTCGACAAAATGTGGATGGTGATATGTTCGTAGTCGCAGCTTTACGTTATTGGTGTCGCGATTATGAGGAAAAACTTGGAGAATTATTAGCAAATCTTTTAAGTACACGCTATCCTGCAACTAGTCCAAATAAACGGAAACGTTCTGGAGCAAAGCACAACCAACAATCTGGACCACCAACGGGCGAACAGGTTTTGGGACATTTGGATCAGTTGCGTCAGCATTGTACATCCTCTACGGAATTACAATTGTATCATATGGAAGGGATGCAGAGAGCGTTGCAACAAGCGCAAGCTGCCAGTAGCGATTCTCTCAGGAAGAGTTACGGTGACTTATTCGCTTTAGCGGAAGTCAATGAAGAAAATGAACCACCACCACCGCCGCCAACAAGTTCGGCAAGAAAACACGCGGCAGCTTCGGGCGGGGGTGGGGGCGGTGGGGCCGGCGGCAAAGGGGGAAATAGGAAAGTTGGAGTTAATACGAGGGAAAGGACGAGTTCGAAAAAACAGATTCAGTATCACCTCGACAGTACATCCAGTAGCGAGGTAACCATTTCACCAGTACGTCTGAAAGGAAAACAATTTGGAATTAAGTTACATATTATCAGAACCGATCTGTTGTTTATCGAAGTTTATTATGATAAAAAGAAGTCGATTATATCGAGATTGACTTTGTTTCTTTGTCTCTTTTTTTTTTAATATAGGAGGAAATCGTAAATCCAAAGCAAGCGAAAAAGAGAAAAAAGATTATAGTGGGCTCGGACAGCGACTGACCACCCAGTGTCTTCACATGTCACATGGACCACGTCATGTGTGTGCAGCAAGATAAATTAGCCTTAAGAATAGTAAGATAATACGATATATATATATATATACATATATATATATATATATGTATATATATATATATATACACATATACATAGTAGATTTATCTAGCGCGACTTGTAAATATATTCTACGTTGGATAATGGGATGTACGAAACGATGTTGTTGGCCCGAGTCTTACGCGTTTCGTAATCTAAAAATCGTAGTGGTGCCAGACTCTCGTTATTATCGTTAAATGTATATGTATGTATCCTCGATTAGTTTTCTAAAAGCAAAAATACTCTTATCATATCGACTTATCGACGAGTAAATTTATTATCGACTAGAGGTGAGGCGTGACTATCGTTTGTCGGACGAAAAATTTTGCGAAAAAGAAATTACTTTCAATTATGTACAAATGAAAAATTCTAAATGAATAACTTTGATCTGGCACCATTACACAAAATGGGGTAAAGCAATGCGGTCTTACTCCAATAAACATGTTAAATTTGTAATTGTAAAAGCATCGATCCACATAGTATTTTTATGTGGAAAGAAAGTCAGCGCGTGCAAGCACCTATGTCGTGCTTAACATATTTACCAATGATCTTTTTTACTAATTATGCGATTATCATACTCCGATCAAGTTGTTATTGACAAATATTGATTTTGTCGATTTAGATTATTGACAATTAATTATTTCTTGATTTAAAATATTTGACACAGCCGTAAATTATTTTAACAGAAAATATCTTTATATAGTAGAGAATCGTTTTGAAATAATATTGTGAATAATTTGTCGTTAGGATTCATGTGTTAATTCCTAAGATTTTTCTATGATACCATATAGTTTACATGCGTCCTTTATACCTTTGGCTTGGAGAGAGAGAGAGAGAGAGAGAGAGAGAGAGAGAGAGAGAGAGAAAAAAGAAAGAAAAAAAAATATTTGCATATTGCACAAAGGATAAACTAAGTAAATTCAATGAGAAATCGGATCTTCGTAATGATATCTTTGTTATAGAATTTTTGAAAAATACGTCGTCTTCGAAGATTCAAATTAATGCACAAGTAGATCCAATTTTTGTTGAGTCATTCTCAAAATAGACTATTTTTACCGTCCTATTAAGTTTCAATGAAAATCTTATAGATCGAGTTCTCATAATTTATCTTCTTATATTTATAAGAAATTTCTTTATATCGCGAATGTAAGAGCTGGTAATATTCTTGGAATTAATGCATGAGTCAAAGAGTATTAAGAATCTTTCTTTAGAAAACCTCATATATATATATATATATACACACAACATATACGAAATTATTAATACCGTAATTGTGAAATAATTTTATATTTTAAAATGATAACTTTCTTTTTGAATTGAATCCTTGTTTCGATCGTCGTTAATTCCATTGTTAGTTCTTTGAAATGATATTGTGAGATCATTCATCGAACATAAAGTTAAATGATTAAATTTATACATAGCTCGTTTAAACGGTTTACTTTATAAATTTAAACTTTTATACACACACGTACACACACACACACACACACTTTTCTTCATTACAATATCATATTAATTTCTTTTAGAGAGAGGTTTCATTGTTTTTTCTTTCCTTTCTTTTTTTTTTTCTTTTTTTTTTTTTTTTTAAATTCCATCTTGTGCATTTGAATCATTATTCGCGGGACGTATCGTTTATTTTTCTTCCTTTCTTTGTATCTTCATAAGATTAAATGCGTTTTATTATATATAAAATACACATAAACACACACACACATGCGTATACACATATTGTTCCTGCGATCTTTGTCGAGTCTTTCGAACGTCTTTCGCCATAAATTCTCGTTGATACGAAGACCAAATTAGAAAATGAAGAAAGAAAAAAGAAAAAAAAAAGAAAAAGAAGGAAAGGAAAAAAGAAGAAACATATTGATATAGAGAGTAATTCTAACGCATTTAGAGAAAAAAACAAAAACAAAAAAACCAAAAAAAAAAGAAAAGAAAATATATGAAAGTAACAACGGTTCTTGATTTTATCAAATTTTATACGAGTTTAAAGTAGTATTAACTTGCTTTACGCTCGATATATGTTTCATAATGATAAGGACATGAGACACGTATCTAGGGGACGTCATTGGCCATCATTTAGTTTTGTTTCGAATGAAGTCTGAAGAAGAATTAAAACTGATGAAGAAAAAGTGGAAGGAGGAAGAGAGTGAGAGAAAGATAAATATATATATATATATATATATGTATATGTATATGTATATGTATATGTATATGTATAGATAGATAGATAGATAGATAGATAGATAGATAGATAGATAGATCGATAGATAGATAGATAGATAGATAAATAAAAAAGAGAGAATTTTTTCTAAGTCACTGCTCGGACACACAAATAGTTTTCAACTTTTAGTTGCTCCCGTGGTTTATCAGATAACAATTTATTTTACATATATGTATCTGATAATGATAATGATGATAATGATGACGATGATGATATTATTATTATTATTATTATTATTATTATTATTATTATTATTATTATTATTATTCTTATTATTATTATTATTATTATTATGATAATATTATGATGATGATAATAATAATAATAATAATGACGATATGATGATGATGATGATGGGTATGCGATCGCCATAGAGATGAGAGCGCAATTTGTATGAAGTGTTTGTTATTAGCTTTTTATTAGGATTAAGAATGTAAGCATCGACGAGATAGTAAGACGGTATTAAGTATGTTAACTTGATATATTTTTATTTCTCGTAGATAGCATACATACATATATATATATAATATATATATATATACACATACACACACACATACACACACACAAAAGACACAGTTTTATGACCAAATGTTATTCAGTTTGCGGCTGCGCTTTAAGTGAGCACAATCATTCTCGGTAAAGTAGGACGCTATATATACATTTTGTATACTTTTACATCGAGGAAGGTGATCAATCTCCGAGTGATCTCTGTCTCTCCCCAACTTTTTTCTTTCTTCTTGTATTTCTTTCTTTCTTTTTTTTTTCCTTTTATTTCTTTGTTTTTTAACTTTTGTCCTATTTCGTTCTTTCTGCTTCACTCTCGAACTTGTCCAATCGCTTTACTTCGTCTTATAATATCGCATGATCGCGTTAGTTTTTTTTTTTTTTTTCTTTTTTTCTTTCTTCCTTTTTCTTTTTTATTTTTACCTTCAACAGTTTTCCTTTTGATACGTATACACTTTCTGTGCGTTTCAAATTGTTTAAATTGTTCAGTTTCAAGTTTTGCTTTTCTTTTCTCTCCTTTCTTTTTTCTTCTTTTATATATATATATATATATATATATATATATATATATATATATATATATATATAACCATTTAATATATAAATCTCTTTGTTCTCCTATCTGAAAAAGAAAAGAACCAATCAACCAACCAATCACCAATCAAACAAACAAACAAACAAATAAATAAACAAAACACAAAAAATAAAGATAAAGAACCACCTTCCGTTCGAGTGTATGTACCTCGGCTCACAAAAACCTTCCAAAGAGTGTAAAAAAAAAAAAAAAAAAAAAAAAAAAGAAAAAAAAAATCAAGTAGCGTCTTTCTATGTGTGTAAAAGTTAAGCCGTAAAAGATGAAAGAAAGAGTTTTAGAAAGAAACGTCGTCTCCACTGTTCGTTCGTTCGTTTATTCGTTCGTTCGTTCATTCGTTTGTCTGTCTGTCTGTCTGTAATGTACATTTCCTGTAAAATCGATCGCTGTAAAAGGAAGTAGAACTGCGTTATGTATTTTCTAGTTTGTACATATACAACGGGGTAAATGCGAGAATGACGATGCAATGTGTATGAAAGTATGTAAGTGATATAAATATATATACACACATATATATATATATGTGTGTGTGTGTGTGTATGTATATATGCATATAAGTATAGCGTGTATGTATGTAAGAGCGTGTGATATCGTGTGGGCACGAGCGTGAGAAACGAAGACGTTTAAATGTAACTGTTACAGAGATCGGGGTGGGGCCATCGGGAAATAATGCATGAAAGACTTACATTTTCACGAAGAAACTTATAGTATTCTCGTGCACGATCCATTTTATTTCTTTTTTTTTTTTTTTTTTTATTTCTCTTCTCTTTATTCTTTCTCTTTATATATTTTTTAAAACCGTCATGAGTTATATGTGCGCGCACACGCATTCGTATATATATATATGTATATATATATAGGTGTGTGTGTGTGTTCATATACATACATATGTGTGTATGCGCGCGTGCGTGTATGTATGCTGTGTATATGCTTTGTGACTGTCTTCTCTTTTTCCTCTGCTACTGTATATGTGTGATACGTGCATGTTTTTTTTCTTTTCTTTTTCTTTTTTTTGTACGCTTGTGATGCATCCAGCATCAAACGAGACATCTGGGAATTTATCTGACTGAATGTTGAACAAAGTAAAATAATAATAATAATAATAATAATAATAATAATAATAATAATAATAATAATAATAATAATAATAATAATAATAATATTAATAATAATATTAATAATAATAATAATAATAATAATAATAATAATAAAAATAATAATAATAATAATAATAAATGAAAAGAAAAGGGTAGGGGGGAAAAAGAAGAAAAAAAGTAAGAAGAATGAATATAGCATATATCACACGTTTATATAGGTGTAAAGTACTACGTCGAACGATGATGGTTGTCCAACGTGTTATATTACACTTTTCTATTTGTATATAATGAACGAAAATGACGATATATATGGAAAGAAAGAAAAAAAAAAAAAAGAAAAAAAAATATTTAAGGAGCGATACAACAGTAACGATCGGCTGTGTGTATGCATATGTGTACGTGTGTATGTATCTATGTATGTATGTATGTATGTAAAAAAAAAAGAGAGCGAGAGAGAGAGAGAACGAAGAAAGAATGTGTCCTTTGTGTGAACGAGAACGACAGAGAAAAATCCAGAGTGAACGTGCTAAAGAGAGAGAGAGAGAAAGAGAGAGAGAGAGAGAGAGAGAATTCTACATCACGTGGCAATATGCAAAACAAACCTTGTAAACATTTAATGTTTTTAACGATCTTGTACACATCAATACACGTGTAAATACATGGATAGAATATCATACCGCGAGCATAAACATTTAATGTTTTTAACGATCTTGTACACACGAAATACACGTAAATGTAAATACATCGAAAATGATTTAAAACACATGTTTCTTCGTTCTCATGATTAACATTAACACCCATGTGATCGAATGTTCTCTTTTATTTTTTTATTTTTTTTTTTTTATTTTTATGTTTAATTATTTCGTTATTCACTATCTTTTATGAAAAAAAAGGCAAAAAAAAGAAAAAAGAAAAGAAAGAAATATCCTCATTGAGAGTTCATGACTTTTAGTTTCATGCTTTTTAATGTTCTTTTATATATATGAAGAATACATACATATATACATACATATATATATATATATATATATATATATATATATATATAGTTAATTTATTATTATATAGATATATGTATGTATGTATGGTATATATAATATATATTATCACGATTCATTATTTACAACAAAGTTGTTTGGTATCGTGACCCTGTATGAAAATTTAATTAAAAATGAATAAGTACTTACTGTTGACGAAGCTGTTAGAACTTCAAAAAAAAAAAAAAAAAGAAAAAAAACCAAAAATAAAGAAAAGAAAATTAAACGAAAAGTTCGAACATCGTAGAATTATTCAGTTCATCGAATCATCGTTATCCTCGTTGATTCGTGTTTGTAATAAAAGCCGAAGAAAATTTCTTCGACGTTTCTATAAAAAAAAAAAAAAAAATAAAAAAGTGAGAAAGAAAAAAAAAAAAGAAACGATCTCGTTTCCTGTTAGTATCATATTTAGAACTAATAGAAAGTCAGACAGTAAAAGTGTAAAAATAAAATTATTAGATAGATTAAAAGAGATCTCTGTGTGTGGAAAAATAGCAAATAAAAGCTTGGTATCAATCGTCACACCTCATTATTATTATTATTATTGCTAGGGACACGGCGGTGATAAGAATAAGAAGAATAAGAATGATAAGAAGAAGAAAATGGAATAAAATCGTTTGCGCCTTCGTAGCAACGTGTATGTTTGTTTGTTGTGTGTCTCTCTCGTCATTACGTTTTCTCTGAATATTTTTCTTTTTCTTTTCTCTTTATCTTCCATACAATCATTATTTATCGATTTATCGCGTATCTTTTAATAATCGAAATGTAGATCGCATGAATACAAAGTTTACATTGTTTTTCTTTTTCCAATGATTGAAGTAACACAAGCTTAAAAGGATCGATACACGCGCTTTTTTTCTGTCACGAAAAAGTTGTTATTTAAAAAGAAAAAAAAACGTAAACAAAAAAAAATAAACGAAAAGACAATTATATATATATATACATAAATATATATATATATATATTATACACATGTATATATATATATATATACATAAATGCATATATATATATTATACACATGTATATATATACATATATATATATATGAGCTGTGATTATGAAAGTGTGATCTAAATAAAAAAAAAAAAAAAAAGAAAAAAAAGTAAAAATAAAAAAGAAACAAATTAATTTATTGCGTATAATTAGGTCATTATCGTACTGCCATATGAATTTTACACAATAAATTAATGAAATTAAATTAATGAACTAATTTAATTTTTGACTTAGAGATCACTTTTATGATCACCAGCTCATACATTATGTATTGTACACATATAAAAAAAACAATTCTATAATATATATATATATATGTGTATGTATATGTGCGCGTGTGTGTGCGCGCGTGCGTCTGTGTGTGTTTGTATGTATATACGAACGCATTTAGTAATCGCGTAAAGGATCGAAGAATAAACTGTCACAGATCATTATAATTTAAAAGATAAAAATATGATTATAACCGAGACGCGTTATATCGTTTTGTTTTAAAAATTATTCATGCATCATACAATTAATGATTCTCGGAGTTATAAATTTTCATAAAAATCATAAATACAATTACCTATTTGTACAATATAATTGAACGAACGATTATTCCGGCGAAGATTTGAAAGGAAAAAGAAAAAGAAAAAAAAAGGAAAAAAAAAAAATCAAGAAAAAAATGGAAAAAAGAAAAAAAAGAAAACAAAAAGGAGAAAATCGAGATAATTAAAAGTCAAAAATCGTGTTAAAAGTTTCAAGCAGGGTGTCGATAATATATACTCGGATTCGTTGAATTCTCGTCCGCGTTGAAATGTCAATCTACTCTTGTCCCCACCCCCTTTTCCACCCAACCCACCCCCGCCCCAGCCGCCGTCGTCGTGTTTTTTTTTTCGTTTAGAGCGCGTCTTACAAAGTAGAGAAATAGTTTTGTGTCTCGTTTTGTGCACAGAATTGTACTTTACATAGATATATATATATATATTTTTTTTTTTAACTTTTTTTTTCTTTCCCCCTTTTTTCGTTTTCCTTAAGCATCTGCGTTTACCGTCAATGACGGCACATAAGTTGTCTCCATTGCGTTTATCGTTAAAGATCATAGAATCTGGTACGCGATTTTGTACAAAGAGATTTATCACGCACGCATGTAAACGCCATAAGATGTATCATACATACACACGCAGAGCCGATTAATACACCCCCGTTCCTGTCCCTATCTCCCTGTCGTTCCTAACACTGCCCACCTCTACCAGCTGGCCACCCCCACCCCCTCCCCATACACACACGATACACATCATATATACGCATATACACAAAATCGTTCATTCGGGTTCCGCTTAGTCACGTACATACAAAGAATACACAAACAACACAACACAACACAACACAACACATGACACGCATACAAAGAGACGAATGCACAATCTCTCTCTTTGTGTGTGTATGTTTATGCGTGTTGTATGTGTGTGCAAGTGTGTGTGTGTGTGTGTATATATGTATGTTATGTGTGCGTTCGTGTGCGTGTATGCGTATGCGTATGCGCATGCAAGCCCTACAAAAGCAGAAAGCATGCACGTACGCGCAGGCAATTGAAACGCCGCTCTATTCTCTGCTCGTAGAGAGGAGTTTAACGCGTTGTTATTTTTTTTTTTTTTTTTTTTTTTTTTTTTTATTATTGTTTAATAATCCTGGAATATTCTTTTCGGGGATATAAATTGAAAATGAAACAAAGGAATTATTGAAATTTCGAATGAAAAGGAAGAAAAGAAAGAAAAGTAATATATATATATATATATATATATATATATATATATATATATATATATATATATATAGGAAAAAAAGAAAAAGAGAAAAATATAAAGCTTAAGGATTTAAAAATATTATTCACAAATATGTTCCCATTTTTCGAAGAGATATGATGCCGATTAATAATATTAATAGCATTCTTTGTGTATCATTGATGATCGTTTCATGCTTTTCATCGTTATAACGAGCATAGATATATTTTTCATTGAAAATAAAAAAATATATCGTTCGTTAAACGATCCAATTTCTCAAGTGTTTATTCGAATTTGGATTTATAATATTATCGGCGATCGAGAAGATAACAAATTATTTCTTTTATACGTATGTATGTATGTATATGTGTATGTGGTTTTCATGGACATAATAAATGCGCGTCATCTTCTTAAATATAAGATTACTTAAAATAAAAATAAAAATAATAATAAAAATAAAAATAAAAATAAAAATAAAAATAAAAATAAAAATGAAAATGAAAATAAAAATAAAAAATAAAATTAAAATAAAACATAAAATATGAAATAAAATCAAAACATGATAATCTCGATCGCCTAACGACAATACTGAAGGAGAGTATCAATGAAATTGAAATAAAGTGAAACGCGTTTAATCACCGATTGCCATCATACACTGATTTCGCAAATCATCATTCTTAACGTTATTAGTGACTGTAAAAGTTGTAAAAGTCATTGGAAACGATTTTTACAATTATATCGTCGTATTAACGGCTGAAAGCGTAATGCAATTTTCGTAGGTAGATTATAGATTCGTCACCTTTAAATTGGCCGTCCGATTTGGGCGCGTGTGTGTATATATATATATATATACATATATATATATATATATATATATATATGTATATATATATATGTATCGATCTCTCTCTCTCTCTCTCTTTCTCACTCTTTCTCTATTATTTTACGTATCTCTATATAAAATCATATATTTTCAACGTATCGTTCGTCACTCGCAAGAATGTTTTGTGTCTTTTACTTCACGGACACGTGAACCGCTCAGAAACGTTCTATTTAACACGTTTTATCGTCGTTGTACACGCGCGACAGGAGTTCGTTTTCTAGGTATAATCACATCTGCATAAAGTATACTCTCACACGGTTGGGTCATGCACGCACGCGTTTTATACGTTCGCAGACACACATACTTCGAGAGAGACTTCGTATCACATTATACATTGAGTATATCTCCTCTTTAAACATTGTTTCTCTATCGCAATATAGATTCTTATATATATATACACAGTAGTAACAGTCTAGTTTTCCTAAGGCTTCTAAAACTTTCTCACTTGCGACGTGTTTCTTCTTTCGATGATAGAAGGAAACTGATAGAAGAAAAGGAAGAAGAAGAAGAAGAAGAAGAAGAAAAAGAAGAAGAAGAAGAGGTGGAAGGACGTTGAGGAAGCGTAGGAGGAAGTGGAGAAGGAGAAGGAGAAGGAGGAGAAGGAGGAGGAGGAGGAAGTGAAAGAGGAATAGAAGTTAGCGGTGGTGAGATAGTGTTAGAGATGGAGGAGGAGAAGAGAAGAGAAGGGAAGAAAGGAAAGGAAAGGAAAGGAAAATAAAAGAAAAGAAACGAAAGGGAACAGAGGATACCGGTGTAGTTCGAGCCGTAACGAAGAGAGAAAATGTAGGTTCTTGCCGGGAGACATACGTCTAGTAGTAAATCACTTCGTAGACAGTGGCCTTCTTGTCGCCGGATCCAGTCACAATGTACTTGTCGTCGGCAGAAATGTCGCAGCTCAGAACCGACGAGGATTCCTTCGACTGAAAAGAGAAATAAAAATAACGATATATATGTTAGGTTCAATCGTTCTGTCGTTTTAATTTGATTGAAGAAAATTTCCGATCGAACGAACGCGTAGATCGAACGTAGAAGGAAAGAAAAAAGAAACGTAGAAATAAATAAAAATGGAAAAAAGGAGAACAGAAAAAAAAAGAAAAAACAAGCAAACAAATAAAAAGAAAGAAGATTGAAAAGAAAGGAAGACCAACTTGAAATATCGAGGCGCCGTAAGGCGTGCGCCAGGCGTTGAGCAGATTGTCCTTGCCAGTGGAAACGAACCACTTGCCGCATGAAGCAAAACGAAGGGATAGAACGCAGGACTCGTGCAGATGTAACTGATATTTGTCCAACTTTGTGGCATGTAGAACTTCGACGTTAGAGTTCTCCATGCCAACAGCTAGCCATTCGCCGGTAGGACAGTATCCCAATGAGAATATCTGAGATGTGAAATCGTGTTGCTGAAGTTGCCTTCCTTCTCGTAGATCCCACGATCTTACGGTATTGTCGAGGCCACCGGTCCAGAGTTTCGAGCCGTCGGCCGATATGTCGATGCAAGAAGCTCCGTCCGTATGCCCTTGGAACTGTCTGACCAACGTTTGATTCTGGAGATCCCAGACGGCGATATTACCGTCGCTGCAGCAACTGAAACAGACCTTCGAATCCGGCGAGATGGCCAAGGCGTAACAGGCTGGCGCTGAGGAGGTCAACTCGGCCTTGATCCTCGGCGTTGGGCTGGCCAGGTCCCAGATACTCAGTTGACTCGCCTCACCGCCTACTATCAACGTTCTACCGTCTGGAAGTAACTTTACCGACCTAATGGGAAAACGGAAAATAATAAGGCAGACGTTAGATTTAAACAAATTAATTTCTATATTTCTCCATGATTTCCCCAAAACCCAATTAATTCCCACTCCTATCACCACCCTGATAATGGACACATAGAAATATAGTCTCGAGTGACCTGATGTAATTGTCGCGCTGCAAACAGTCCAATTGCGAGACAGGTTTAGCGCTAATACTGCTGCCTTGACCAATGTCCCAGACTTTGACGCAACCTTTGCCACCGGTGTAAACGTATTTTGTTGGATTCGAGATCGTGACCGCGCATACGACCTCACCGTGAGTCAAAGTGTTGATCTGACGCGCGTGACGAGGTATACCGGGTCCTGTGAGAGCATCCGTGGGGAAAGATACTGGTTGCAGTTGGCCCTCGCCGTTCATATGGAAGGAGTACGCTCTGAGAATAGTCACGAACGAATTCTCAATTATCTTTCTTCGGAGTTTATCTTTATGTTAAACTAAATACCACAATTATTAGATTAGGACTAATTGGATTACGTACGGTTTGCCACCCGGAATGCTGCTCAATCCGTTACTCGAGGGTATCCTCACGTGACCGTCGAAACCGAGCTGAAAAAAGTAAAACGTTAACATATTAAATTAGTACATACGAAATAGGTTAATTACATTTAATAAAATTCTCTCTCTATCTTTATATTTCTATCTCTGTCGCTATCTCCATCTTTATCTCTATCTATATATTTTTTTTTCTCTATTTCGAAAGATACAATTGGAATTGAGATGAATCGAAGAAATGAATTTACGAGATTGATGGGATCGAAAGTCACCATGGATGGTCTGGCGTAGGGCAAGTTGTTGTAGGGCGAGGGCGACTGCGACGGCTCATTGCCGCGGGATGGCAAGCCCTGATAACCCTGTGGTGGCGTTTGCTGCGACGATGGCGGATGATAGACCCGCGATGCCAAGGGCCCAGGGATGCCGCCCATAGTTGGCGTACAACTGCGCGAGCCCCTCGCCGCCGCCACAGGTGTACCCGGTTTGTCGACCTGAATTGTTAGTTCCGCGATGTTCTTTTTTTTTTTGGTTATACAAAAAAAATAAAAAAAAAAGCATCATATATTTTTCGACGACAACGGGGGAGTCGTATAAATCAACGATCACAGGTTGTTTCATTATCATTTTCTTAAAAATTTATACGAACTTATCAATTTCTTATACGAACATAAAGAACAAAACAGATTATAAAAGTTTTTAAATTGTTCATCAACGTGATTGACAAAAATTTTCGAATGATTTCTAAATGAACATTTCAACTGTCAATTAATATTATGTTCAATAATATTTTCAACACTATATCATATTATTTTAACCCTAGTTAACCCTTAAAATAATTTCCAATTGTGCACTTGGGGTGCGCTATACGTCCCAGGCACTTTGAACAACAGTTCTCATTTTATACAGAATGAATAATTTTGACTCCAAAGAAAAAAAAAAAAAAATACTTTATATTTCTTAAAGCCTTGACAGTAATAATCAAATAAATTTGAAAGTGTATTTTCAATTCTGTCATTATTAAAAGAAAATTCATGAAACCTGCAATGGGCAAAATTGTTTTAATTGAGTTCAAAATTTCTCTGGGGTATCCTACGTCCCACAGGCACAATTAGGGTTAACTAACGACAGAAGATCTAAATATTTCGACAATGGAACATCCTGAATGTATTTTCTTTTTTCTTTTTATTAAGTAGCAAAGAGATAACCGGCTTTTCTTTACTTTCTGGTGACGATCCAAAGCGATGCTCGGAATTAATTTTATCAAGAATTTTGACATCATCCTTTAAAGGAAAATTTTTCAATATAAACAATCATTCATATATATATATATATATATATATATATATATATATATATTTGTATAAAATACGAGTAGAAAGGGTTACATTTCTTTTTTTTTTCTTTTCTTCTAACAAAAAATTCGTCGATATAACGATATCATTTTTTTGTTGTGTTCTTTTTTATTGGTATATTTTCTTTTTCTGTTAGTCTCGTAGAATCTCGCCTCGTAATCGTCACCGAATAAGCTTGCTCTCCGCAAGATCTTACATCTTTACTTTTCAGAGACGGCGTACTACGAGCGGAAGAACTTCCGCTTCGCGAAGGTGGCCTGTCCTTGACCGAGGTCGAACCTACTCCTGAAGCTGGTCCACCGATGTGACCCGGTGCACCATGTTTCTCTAGGGTACCATTTTCTCGGGGATCCGAATGCTCGCCATTTGCATGCGGCGACGATCCTTCCTGCATTGCGAAAATAAAATGATTTCTTTGAAATATTATTCGAACTATTGATCCTATTCTCTACCTATATTTTGATACATCGAAGAAAGAAAAGAAGATGAAAAAAACAAAAAAAAAAAAAAGAAAGAAAAAAGAAAATAAGAAAAGAAGCCAAAATTTATTTATCTTTTTTTTTTTTTTTTTATTTCCATAATATCAATATGTACCTATATGATTTTTTAATAGATCATTCTTTATCTTCAATCTTAATTTTTTATATTTCCGCTATCACGAAGTCGATAGTTATTATCGAATTGAAATTATTCGTTCATATATCGATATAGTCTCATATTAATGACTAAATATTATTTCTAATGTTTCTGCAGACCTTTTATTTAATTCATTTCCGTGAGATATATATATATATATATAATATATATATATATATAATATATATATATATATATATGCAATTTTTAATAAATTTCTTAATTTTATGAAATTCCTGTTTAGTTTCAAAACCGAAAGTTAAATTAAAGCGAAATTACCCATGGATGTTCGCAACGTGCGATACTAATTTTTGTTCTAAATTTCAAGTTAATACGCTTGAACGTTTAGATTGTAAAATTCATACGTACGCACATACACACACATACACGCACATATGCACACACACGCACGCACGCACGCACACACACACACACACACACACTCACACACACATATGCATTCATACTAATGTATATGAATCTGTATCTATGCGTTAAAATATTGTATATATAAATCCTATTAGTAAACTTAAAATAGGATCGAAATCTTTTATTAAGTTCGCAAATTAAAATTTTCTATAATCTGATAACTTTGATTTATTTTCATAGAAAATTTCTGTTACAAATACATGGTTATGAATTATCTATTATTTTAAACATTTCTATGTAATTTTATATTTTCTTTCTGTCGATTTTCTTTTACGAATTTATTTAATATTATAATAAAGCGTTGTTTTTAAACCGGAAGTTAAATCGAAGAGAAACAATAAATTGATTCGAAATTTATCAAAATAATTTCATTTTAGATATAAATTTCCAATTAATTCATTTAATTGTTTAGATGATAGACTGGACACAAACACACACACACACACAAACACACACACGCGCGTGAATAAATACATACATACACACGTTTTTCTTTTTATATACGAAAACTTTAAGATTCAGAAGGATTCGTAAATATTATAAAAAATAATAATAGTTTAGAAGATACACTTTTCTATCATATTTATTTTGCAACTCTTTTATAATTGAAAATATTCGTGAACTCGTCGCAGTCTATTTCTAAACATGGACTAAAAAGAAAAACAAAAAATTCTTTTTTCTTGTTCGTGTCGTTGAACCAAAAAATTATTAATTAAAATATACCTCGTTCGCCACGTCAACGACTAAGTCCTGATCGCTTTTCTCGCCGTCGCTATCCTGCAAAGAGAAAAAATAATGATCATTAAGAAAGAACGAATAAAGATATAAAAAAAAAAAAGAGACAAAAAAAGAGAAAGACAAAAAACCAAACAATACAAAACATGTTTACTTTTAAAATTAATATATTATTTATAAAGTTATCCACGTAAAGAAAATAATATATGTTCGTGTATATTTACGTACGTACATATGTACGTATGTACACGTATTTGTGTATATATATTTGTGTCTACATGTATATATATATATATATATATATATATATATATATATATATATATATATACATGCATGTATATGTATATAAACGAGACCCTCGACAGTTGTAGTTACGCCTACATGAGTGACTCGACCTACATTTACTCTGAGAGCGTAGAGACACACCGGTATTTCCTTCGGAGATGCATTATTAATTTCGATACTCGTTCCTAAGGTGCATCTCGCGTTCTGATTGCGCGTTAAGTTAATGGGTAAAGTATCGTAGCGATGGTATATACACGACTATGCGTCTCCGTTTGCGTCGGAGTACATAGTTACTCGTTGAATTTACAAGGGCCGTGCGAGTCGAAAGTGCTTTCGTAATCAAAAGCTTTTGCCAGCGAGTATATGCCCGGCCATTATTCGATCGCACGAATTCTACTTTTGCTTTTCTAGTCGTTCGTATACCTAAGTACGAATCATTCGTAAGGAAAAGAAAAAAAAAAAGAAAAGGAAGAAAAACGAAGAAGAAGAAGAAGAAGAAGAAGAAGAAGTAGAAAAAAGGAGAAGGCAGAGAAAGGATATATTTTTGGTATCGAATGAACGAAATATCAAGAGAATTGATCTCTGAATTATTTAATATTAATTCTTATGGTGTAAGCTGATATAGGGAATATTGTGAAGCGAACACGTGATCGTGGCACGTTTTAGAACGAACAATTTGCTCGGGGGATTCGAATCGTAATTGCGACGCGATATGGTCATTGAGGGAAAGGAGAGGGGAGGGGCCGAGAAGCGGCAAAATTGTCGGTAAGAGGGGAAAACTGAAGAGGATAGAGACGAAGAGAAGGAGAAGAGATGAGATGAGAAGAGAAGAGAAGAGAAGAGAAGAGAGGAGAGGAGAGGAAGAATAGGTTAGGCGGAGGAGCGAAGTCCGTTCGAGCTGCCAGGGACAAGCAATAAATTTGTGTACGGACGATGAGTCTCAGTAAATAGAAGGCAAAGTGTGGTGGTATTGATTTCAGTGGTATTACTCGGCCGGCGGAGGACGCTCGTGGGTGGAGAGTGGCCACGGAGGGTAAAAGTAGGAGGAGGAGGAAGTGAAAGAGAATGACGGAGAAAGAAAGAGAGAGAGAGAGAGACAGAGGGAGAGAGAGGGACTGAGAAAGAGAAGGGAGGAAGGAGAAGAGAGGCCGAAGGAGACGAAGAAAGAGGCGGAGGGTGTCTTCCACCCCTTAACCTGCTCGTTCTAGCGTTAAATATGATACAAATGTTATCATCCCTTCTATTCCGCATCCCCACTATTACTAACTCGCATCTCCTCGGCATGAACAACCACCACCACTACCACTATTACCACCACCATCACTATCACCAATACCACCACCATCACTATCACCAATACCACCACCACCACCACCATCACCATCACCACTACCACCACTACTACTAACACTGATACTACTACTGGTAGTAGCACCGCTACTATACAACTACTACAGTGCACTACTACTACTACTATTTTCTAACGGCATCGCCAGTAGAGGCACCACTAGCAGTATCTCTCCTCCCTCTTCGGCAGCTTCTTCCCTCGTTTAACCCGACGCAGCGGGGATGACGGTATTAAGGGCAGCTCTATTATTCGACCGCCCAACCACTCGACTCTTCGCCTCGAGAATCCTCGAATTTCTCTTTTTTTCCCTTCTACGAGTTCGCGTCATCCTCCCTCTCTCTTTCTTTATATATATATATATATACATATATATATATATCTTTTTCTTTCTTTCTTTCTCTTCCTCTCTCATCTTCTCGGTGTTCCAGCGTTCTTTTATTTACTTCTACTTTTCTTTCTTCTCTCTTTTCCTCTCTCTCTCTCTTTCTCTCTTTCTCATACACACACATATACATACATACATACATACATACATACATACATACACACACACACACACACACACAAATACACACACACTGTCGAGTTTTTCTCTTACGACTTCGCTCTTTCTTCCACCTCTCGGATCTTTTGTAAACAAACGCGCGGCGCGAGAGGCTAAGAGGAATCGAACGATCTTCGAACTCCGCTACTCCTCTCCTCTTTCTCTTCCTCCTCTACCTCCTCCTCCACCTCCTAATCCTCCTCCTCTTCACCACCACCTTTTCCTCCTTCTCTTCACTCATTTTTCTATCTTCGTCTCCGAACTCCTCTTGATGGTGTTTCCACTACTTTGACAAGAGGAAAGTGTATCTCGTTAATACGTGCATGTACAAGAGGCGACAGTTAATTAAGACAATTATCTGTTAGCGAGATCTTCGCAGGATCGAAGCGAGAAGAAACATGAAACTTGACTCCTCTGTCTGTCTCTCTCTCTCTCTCTCTCTCTCTCTCTCGAACGCGTGCAAACTTTAACATACTCGAAAAACAAGAAGAATCGTTCTCGCGTGTATCATAAAAATTGCGAGCTACCTCTATATTAAGAAACGACTACTTCGAAAGAAAAAGAAAAAAAAAAAAAAAAAAAAAAAAAAAAGAAAAAAAATATATAATATATCTAAGTACCATAGGTATATAACGAAAAAGATTTTAAATACGCGATAGCGGAGTTATTTAACCTGCCTATCTTTGTACTACCCTAAGGTGATAAGGACTGCCCGTAGGATGGTATAACCAAAGTACCAACAACTTTTACTACATGAGTGAGAAATAGAAGGAGAGATAGAAATACGATGACTATCCACTACCACTATCACCTATACTACTATTACTACTACTACTACACTACTATTACTACTACTACTATCACTATTACTACACTACTACTACTACTACTATTAGTGTTACTGCTACTGCTACTACTACCGCTGTTGCTACTACTGCTACTACTTATATTACAATAACTGCTACTACTATTACTATCGTCACTCCTTTTGTGTCTCGCAGTAGAAGCGCCGGTGAAAACGTATTAAAGCGATTATCTTGGATGAAGAAGATATAGCGGTGAGGGTTGAGCGTAGGGAAGAGAGATTCGAGAAAGGAAAAGAGAGAGAGAGAGAGAGAGAGAGAGAGAAAGAGAGAGAGAGAGATAAAGAGAGAGAAAGAGAGAAAGAGAGAGAGAGTGGGACGTAGAGGAGAGGGTGGACGTTGACGAAAGGCTGGAAGGCTGGGTTCTTCTTGACGGCAAAAACGGGTTGTAGACACGGAGAACAATGGAGATAGGAACGAGCTTTCTCTGGAGTGAGGGGAAATAATGAAAAGTGCTCGCGATAACGCGCCTGTGTCGTATTAAAGTACGGCCAGCCACGATCATATAGGTAGTAGTAGTAATATACTAAAATAGTAGTAGTACTAGTAGAAGTAATAGTAGTAGTAGTAGTAGTAGTAGTAATAGTAATAATAGTAATAGTAGTAACATCGAACTTTGATCGATGAGAACAATTTCATTCTGGCTTTTTGACTTTTCACAAAGAAACGAAGAAAATGATCGAACCTGTCCGAGAAGAGTAAAACATAGGAGAATTGTATGGTGGTAGTGATGGTGATAATGATGGTGTTAGTGGTGTTGGGTGGTGATAGTGGTATACGAGGAAAAGAAGAAGAAGAAGAAGATGAAGAAGAAGAAGAAGAAGAAGAAGAAGAAGAAGAAGGATGGAAGATGGAGGTTAGGAGAGGGAAAACAGTTTTTCTAGTGCTTATCGTGGATTGCGCGGTTTCGTCGGTTCGTGACGTTCCATGCGAAAGCTTGGGTAAAAACGGATTGAACGATTCCTCCGAGGACAAGAAAATGAGAAGGGGTTGTTGAAGGAGGGAGAAGGGGGAAGATAGTGGTGGATAGTGTGGGGGGCGGAGGGTGGTATTGTAAAAAACCGAGACACAAGCACGTTGACGGGATACGAGAGTATCCGAAAGACCAGCTTGGATTTAGGAAAAATGCTCGTAGAGCGCAACAACAAGGAAAATAAGGGGAAATAAAGAGGGAAAACGGTTCGTATGAAAATGTAATTAGGGGAAGCGTGGAAGCTCGACTCATCGCGGCCTCGACCCTTTTTTACCTCCATCCATATACCACCACCACCACCACCACCACCACCACTACCACTATCTACCATCACCAACATCACTACCACCACCATCACCACCTTCATCACCACCGGGAGCACCACGTAGTAGCTGCTACTCTTCTTTCTTTCTTTTTTCTCTCTCTCTCTCTCTCTCTCTCTCTTTCTCTTCCTATTCTTGCTATTCATAATAAATTTGTTAATCGTTCTACGCGTATTCAATGAGTCGATATCCTCTCCGTCGGCTACCTCCTCGCTCCCTTTCACCATATCCAGGAAAAAATCTTCCATTATTTTATATAGTTAGATGATACCGGACGCGATTCAGGAAATGGGATGGAAATTTTATGCGGATCCCCATAGTGATCATTTCTATCGGATTTTAAGGATTTAACGCTAACTTAATATATACTTTTTACACGGTTATCATTTTCGTGAAAAGAATATAACAAGAAATAGAGATAGATAGATAGATAGATAGATACATAGATAGATAAAGAGAGAGAGAGAGAGAGAGATAGAAAAAAAATAATTAAATCACGTTCGATCTTATTGATCGTCCTCTCTCTCTCTCTCTCTCTTTCTTTTTTCTTTCTTTCTTTCTTTCCTTTCTTTTTTTTCTTCTTTTACTAGGAAGAATCCGATCGTGCAAAGGACGAAATCGCCAAGCCACGCGAGCCGTAATTTGAATTTCATCGCGCTGGAAAAATCGAGAGAGAAACTTTTATCGTCGCTTTATCTCCGCC